GGCGGGCTGGGGCGGGGCGGTGAAGCGATCCACAATATCGCGGGGTGTCCACTTTCACGTGGTGGGCGGACAAGACAGGGGAGACTCAGGGTGTTGCGTTCGGTTCGCAACAAAAAGGGGACACGAAAAGTTATTGCAAAAAAAAAATCATCACTCCTAGAAGCTAAAAAGCTTTTATATACTCAACACCCTGCCTCAGGATGACATCATAACGAAAGGTAATATAACTAACATTAAAATAATATTGACGTTATGAAACTGAAGTATTTTGTATTGTTGCCAATAGATAAGGAATATTGATGTAATATCATCGTAATATGTGTAATATTGCCGCAATATCGGTGTATACTGCGGCTGAAGCCCAGCCGGTGCAGCCAGCCGCAACAGCCCGAAATTCCAATCTTGGGTATATTCGCGTTAAAAACCAACTCGACTACTGTAGAAAGACACGCGGACTGCTAGATGCTGGATCGTATGGCACACTTGCTCTCCAGAGAAATTGGTTATCCTTCATAATTTATATTTCCACACAGTTCCTATAAAATCAGCCAAAGAGCAAAAAGTCATCCGTCATTCGCCGGTCCGAACCTGCCAAGTTCAGCCCGTGCACGCTCTCCTGGCGCCTGGTGGGTAGGCAACACCTCGCCTGCAGCGCACGCGTGTACCGCGGGGTGGCCTACCCAGAGTCTCGCAGGCGCCCGGCTCCCGGCATTCGCCGAATGGATCGGGGCAGACGGACAACGCATCATCCGAGCGATGGAGCCGGAATGTGAGCGCCGGTGACGTCCTCGCCGCCGAGAGGGAACCCGCCACACTTACAGTACTTACGGTTCACCCGGAAATTTTTAACCTTCGAATGGAAGTTTTACATGAGTACTGTTGGAAAGTTAAGATTTCAAAACGGCAAGAAACAAAAATTCGCCTAACACTGCGTGTCGACGTGAAATACTTCGACGAGCAAATCCATATGAACATGTCAGCCGCCACTGTGCGATGCCGATCGCAAATTTACATTGTCGTTCGCAAAATCCGTTTTGATGCAGTACACGATATCAGACGGACAGCGATATTTTTCACAGTCGCGGGACGGCCGCGGTGAGGCAGGATCGCGCGGCGGACCGGCGGACCGTCCCAGGCAGCGATAGGCGCCTCCTGATAAGGACAGAAGGACCTATCGGAGATCGTCGGAGATAGGGTGGCGTCGCCGGGCGGAGTGCCCGTCTGCGCGCAGTGAGCAGTGCGGCTCCACTCGCGAGGGCCACGAGCTGCTTGCGTTCACAACTCCAAGCCTGGGCTGTAGTCCGGAGCGGCCGGGTGAGGTGAAGAAGCTGTCTGAGCCCACGCGCCACTGCAGCGGAGGACGTCCCTAGCGGACAGCAGGTGAGTCGACCAGAGGTGCTTCAGACTTCAGTAGCCGGTGCAGCGCGTGGTGCAAGGCTTTCTCTGTCCGCAGGAGCTGCAGGGCCGGCTGCCCCGCGACCCCTGGAGAATGGCCTGGCCGGCGGAGGGGACCCGGGAGACGGTGCGAGTGGCGGAGGGGCAGGCGGAGGTGACCTGCATGGGGGCGGACGGTAACTGCCTCTTCCACGCCGTCAGCCACCAGCTGCGCGCCGTGGGCGGGGTCCAGGACGCCGTGGGCGTGGAGGCCGGCAGCCCGGACCACGCCAGGCACGCAGACTTGCTGCGGCGGCAGGCGGCCGCGTACATCAGGGCCAACCCCGACCGGCTCGTGGCGGCGTTAGACGCGGCCGCTGTGGACGACCCGCAGGGGTACGCGCCCTACAGGGGCGAGGACGGGCGCCTCGCGGACATCCCGGGGGCGGCCGGCCGCCTCGCCTCGAGGCTGGAGACGGACTCCGAGTGGGCGGGCGAGGAGGCGCTGGTCGCGCTGGCCGCGGTCTACCAGACCCGCATAGAGGTCTACTACGAGGCGCGGCCAGGCGACGCACCGCCCTGCCGACCCGTCGACCCGCCCGATGTGCGGCCGGGGCCCCCGCTCAGGACGCTCAGGATAGTCTACCGGCTGAGCAGGGCTGGCGACGGGCCGCGGGTCCACTACGACAGCCTGCAGGTGAGTGAGCACAGAGTGAACCGCTGCCCCAGGGTCGGACACAGCGACCTAACGTCTGCGCCCCGTTCCAGAGCTGCACGCCCGCACCCGCGGAGGAGGAGGGGGGGAGGTCGACCAGAGCGCAGCCTGGGAGCGGACCGCAGCGAGACCCTCCACCAGCTGACGACCAACCGAGGTGAGTGTTCGGGAGCGAGGTCCCGGGAGCCAACAGCGGGTGCGATATGATAGACGACCTCTGACCCGCAGGAATCCCAAGGAGCTGCAGGAGAGAGTGCAAAACCAAGCACTCGGACCCGTGGGGGAAGGGATGCGAATGCAGCCGGGGGCTGGACCACAGCGGGGCCCTGCGGCAGCCGGCAGGTGGCCGAGGTGAGTGTTCGGGAGCAGGGGCCCGGGAGCCAACAGCGGGTGCGATATGAGAGACGACCTCTGCCCCGCAGGATGCCCGCGGAGCTGCAGGAGGTCGTCCTGGCGCTGCGCAGCGGCCCCGTGGCGCCGGGAAGGCTGACCGGCGCGCTGCTGCTCGCGATGCGGCGGGGGAACGAGGAGCACTTCGCGAAGCTGTGTGCCGCAGCGGGCCCCGCGGTGGGCCGGCCTGCCCTGGAGGACGCGCTGGACGAGGCCTGGCGCACGGCCTGCGCGCTCAACCTGCCGCTCAGCGAGGACATGAAGCTGTGTGTTGTGGGCAGCCTCACGCTGCTCCGCTACCGCCTGTCCCGGACGGACCCGGCGAGTGACGCGCCGCCAGCCGCCGACGCCCTGGTCCGGTGGCACGAGCTGTGGGGCCGGGTGGACCTGCTGCTGGAGTACTCGCGGCGCCTCCAGGACGAGCTGGAGCGGCTCCAGGGCCACGACCGGGCGCCGGGCAGCGCGGACAAGAGTGTGGTGCTGGCCAGGATGTGCGCCCTGGCCGTGCACAACGTCAAGGGGTCCTTCTTGTCCACCTACAAGGACGTGCCATGGGAGGAGATGGAGTACCTCCTCGTCATGTTCATCGAGGCGCGCACAGTGCCTGTGACCCTGGCCCACGTCGTGGCGACTACCTTGAGCACCGCGGCCCACCTGAGGTGCTTCAGGGGGCGGGTGGAGAAGTACGTGCTGGTGCACCGCGCCGAGCCCGACCCGGAGGCGGCCATGAAGAGGCTGAAGAAGGAGCCTCGGAAGGAGAGGGCTGCCCTCTTTGGCGGAGTGGTGGACAGCGCCCTCGCCGAGCTACGAAAGAACTTTGCCTTGCTGAGGGACTGGCACTCCCTGGAGGAGATCAACAAGACCCTGAGCGTCACCTGCGAGGCGCTCCGTCTGGAGGACGACACTTGGTCGGCTTGGGGCTGGCTGGCCCTGCGGTGGGGGCTGTTCGTGGTGGGGGAGAGGGTGAAGTACTCCTGGACCTCACCGAACCTGTCCCCCAGCTGGGCCGTCCTCGTTGAGGCCATAGCGCCCGGCGGCGTCCTGGAGGTAATGTCTGCCATCCGTGACGACCAGGAGCACGGGGAGAGCGAATCCAACGCCAAGACACTGGCCTTGCCGAAGAAGACGGAATCCGAGAGAAAGGATCTGGCAGAGGAGTTGCAAAAACTGACGAGGGCAGCTCGAGCGGCTCTGGAGGCGGCAGAAGGTGAGGTGGAGTGGACAGACGACAGTGACTGGGAGGGGAGGGATAGAGTGACGGTAGCCAAGGCCAAGGCAGACAAGGAGGATAGGAAAGACCTAATAGGCGAAGAGCTTCTCAAAATACTGCGACCGGCAAAACATAAAGCGAGATTGAGTTTTGAAAAAATAAGTGCGTTAGTCCATGGCCAAATAAAATCCCATTTAAAGCGGCGTTTCAATTTATCATCAATATCACTTTCATTTGCACTTGAACACATCCCGGAGGCTGCGCCGCGGGTCTCCCGCCTTCTTCTTTACAAGAGCGCGGAGCACACCGAAAGCTTCCAGGCTGAGCTTCGTGACGTCACTCCATCAGTGAGTAGCCCACCATTTGGGACTCTGGGGGACGCGATCACGGCCCTGGCCGCCGCTCCCGAGGGGCCGCTCACTACCTTCGCTATCAACGGAGCTCTGCGGGAGCTTGCGTCCCGCTGGCACGAGCGCGACAAGGTGACGCCCACGACCGTGCCCTTATTCTCCCCCGCCCTGTTCGGCCGCCAGCTGCGGAACTACCTCAACCACCTCGACGAGGTCTTCAGGTCCCCTTTCGAGCTGAATGCCCTTTACAATCTGCTCAGAGTCAAGTGGACACCGCTGGAGCACGGCGCCAGGCCGCGGCCGCGTGACCCGCGGTGGTCCCGGGCCGAGAACGAGCGGCTGCTGCGCCTCGTGGAGCTGAAGAGCGACATGTTCCGCTGCGCGAGGGAGGGTTACTTGTTCTGGCTGGAGCGCCTGGTGGAGGACGGCGCCGACGTGAGCGCCAGGGACTGCCAGGGCCGCACCCTGCTGCACGCTGCAGCCCAGGGCGGCCAGGCCCACGTGGTGCAGTGGCTGCTGGGGCTGGGCGCCGAGGCCGTGGACCCGCTCGCCGGGGACTGGGGTAGACACACAGCCCTGCACGTGGCTGGGACTGCGGTAACACGACGGTTCACATAATTTTTTTCACACAATGGTTTCATACCTAATGTCATTTCTTACAACCCAGTTCACATAATTTTTTTCACATTATTTCCGTTTTGTCTAGAGGGCACTTTGACACAATTTTCGTCTGAAGTGTCGTTTTGCATACGTTTTATACACATAATTTAGATTTGGGATAAATAAAGTTGTTGCGGGATTATATTTGCCAGAGCTGCAGGGGCCGTGGTTCCTTACGGGTGAATTGGGTTGGCAAACCCGCAACACTGCTGCGCATTCACAGGTACACCCGGTACATAGCACAAGGCTTTTCCGTGCCCACGTGTGGCACGCTCAAAATACCAAGTTCGACATTCAGACACCCAGTCCCAGAGACAATGGTTTTGTCAAAGTGATATCACGTGATGTCAGTGTCAACATTTTGTCATTTTGGTGGCCTGCTTTAACGTCAATTTGACATCACGTAACGGCATGTAATATCAAAAGGACGTCAAATCAAGACACCGAAATGACAAAATTTTGAAACTGACATCACGTGATGTCATTTTGACAAAACTGTGTTTCCTGGGTCTATTGTATAAGCCCACTCAACAGCTTTTTAAAAGCAGAGGAGCGAGGCGAAGACAGAAAAAGGGGGCCTGCCAGAATAAATGGGTTCACACACAGAGGAAAATGTAAAAAGAAATGTATGCAAAACAGTACTATATGTTAAAAGGAAACTTATGTGAAACGGTATTTATGTTTAAAAAATTGTGTTAAAGGTGTTATGTCAAATGTTATTGGGCAAAAGGACATTGTGCGAAAAAAATTATGTGAACCGTCGTAGAACCGGGACTGCGGCTGTGGCGGAGGCGCTGCTCGCCGCGGTCAAGACTGTGTACTCAGGTGGGTGAAAGGACAATGTCAGTGCTAAGGGTATCTGAACTTTAGAACAAGAGTTCTTGAGGTGCAATATCCGGGGGTTCGGTCAAAAACAGCAAATTCTCTCTCCTAACTTAAAAACCCGAAAATCAGCTACGTTCGCGTGACTGCAAGTTTTAATTGTGCCACACCGTAAAAAAAAGATTAGACGTCACTTCAATTTTTCTTTTCCTAAACCGACTTCAAAAATACGTCGTCACTGGGCCCTTTCCAAAAAAAAAGTCGCCAAATGACAAATATGGTGTCACTTCATTTATAATTCGTCGAGGTCAGTTTGGCGCACTTGATCGCCTCCCGTCACTCACCCGTCACACCTTTTAAATAAAAGCATAAGCACGAAGCTGCATTCAATGTACACCGACGGAAAGAATGCGGGGGCTTCAGCGAGGGCCAACGGCTTCTAATTCGCAATAACGGTTTGCGTGATGACCGAGTGTCGCCCACTTGGATATTTTATGTACACATTGAAAAATATTCCAAAAGTATTCCAGATATTGCACAAATATTCCCGATATTCCATGTACGCCAAAAATCTGAGTGGTCGACCCCTCGGTGATGACTGATCAATCAGGTGACAACATATTTGCGAATGACTTAGCCTAGTGATCTGTAATCAAGACGTTACAAATCTTCAATAATGTTCGATTGTGTGACAAAACATTACTTGGGTGAAACATGGTTTGTTTTATATATAAACCCTTTGACGACTGATTTGGAATTATTAAAACAAGTAAATAAGTCATTACACATGTTACGACTCATCCGTTCTGTGGGCCGATAGACCAGTGTTGGCATAGAGAATTAAATTAAATTTTATTAAATCGCACTTTGCTGTGCAAATTTCTTTTGGTGCAAAACATTTAGCCCCCGTGCGAAATTTATTTTGTGCTTTTCATTTTGCACCCAAAGGGCAAAAAGGTCTCAAATTAATTCTGCACTGTGCAATATTCCAATAAAGCTCATTTTTGCCCTCGAGGTGAGGGTTTTATTTTCGCACAGTGCGCAACATTTCGCACAATAAAATCCATTTGACCGATGCCCTCCGAAACGCGTCGAAACTTGCCAAAATACTCGCCTTCTCTGACCTGGATCGGGAACAAATCCATGCTTTCCCCATACCACATCTGGGGCAAATCAATAGTCGAGGCTGGAGCAGCTCAAAGAAAGAATGAAACCTAAAATCAACGCACTTGCGCGGTGTTGAACATCCGACCGCTGGGCGACTGTGGGCAACTGTCCGAGACTCTACCCACTGGGCCAGAGCGGATCGCTGGAGGCGGCGGGCAGCGCGCCGGTCTCGTCCGCTTGCCAGTCGCCGCTGGCCACCGCTTGCTTGCTGCCGCCTGCCGGATGAAATAGGCGAGCGAACGACACCGGCGCGCTGCCAGTCGCTTCCAGCGATCCGCTCTGGCCCAGGCCCATCTCGCACAGACGTCCAGCGGTCGGGGGTTCGACACCAACCAGCCACGTTGCTTTTAAACTTCATTCTTTCTTCGAGCTGCTGCGGTCTCGACCGGTACGATTTGCCCCGGATGTGGTCCGATGACGGCATAGATTTGTTCGATTTGTTCCCGATCTAGGCCAGAAAACAGCGAGACCCAGTCAGAGGTCTACATCGATCGGTCCATCAGTCCCGGGAGTGCACGAAATGCAGCACGTGCGAGTGAGATGACGCTGTGGCAAGCTCCGGCATCTCACTCGCACCTGCCGCTCTCGGACGCTCCCGGGACTGGTGGACCAACCGATGCAGACCTCTGGACCCGGTCGAGTCTCCGTTGATACTCAGCCGTAGTAAAGCATGGCGATCGCGCCTGGTTGCGAACTGAATTTTAGCTGCAAAATATAACACTATGGAATAGGCCTAGGGATTCCTAGCGCTGCTATCTACGATCCAGGCGAAGTCCATAGTGCATTCAGGCTATCCTTTTCTCACGGGGGGTTCGGACCCGCTGGGCTTCCACCTAAACCCCTCGCCCAGATCTTGCCGAGTGTCTGCAGCGTATGCGGTATGCGTGTGCAACACACCAGCTGTCTAAAACACTGATCGGCGAAAATCGGCTTCTTTTAGACTATTTAATTTAATTTAATT